AGATGCCACCACTGTCGACTGGAGTCACTGACTCAATAATGTCATGTCCAGTGCGATTAAGAACGATTTTAAATGACAGCTTCCATCCACTTCATGATTGCCTTTTATGATTTCAGCTGAAGCAAAAAAGTTGTAGGGGCACACATATACTCCGGGACAGAAATGTTCCAAAAATCTCTGTTCATATCACGACGTTTAGCAGGTCATCTAAAGCTAAAAATGATCTGTTAAATAATCATCGTTAAAAGCTTGACCGTTTATAATTTTCATACAAGCATTCATTTCTGAAGCCCGAAGTTTCTTTCAGGTCCCGGAAGAGCAGCCTCCGAAGATTTCTGCATTGATCAAGCCCTCCGCCAATCGGCAGCGCCACAAGCAACCGAATTCCAACTGCTCACGATAAACAAGCCATCCGGTTCTCGTTCGCAACTGGACGTCTTCCTTATTCCTTTGCCCAAAAAGTCTTCCTGAGAGCCTCTCTCATGTTATTCTGTCCATATGTCCAAACGATTGCAACTGTGACCTCTTGCTCTGAAAAAAAGCTACTCACAAGTGAGGGCATTTTGAACTGTTGTGTTCTAAACCTAGCTCAGCTTAATCACAAGTAATCTTGCGAAGAAATCGCATTTCTGCCGCTTGTTTCTGAGATCGCATTCATGACTATAGAGGAGCGCGTGCACAGAAACTTAAAAGCATATAGATTTGCGTTACTGCTCTAATTCTTCTTCATCACCACAGACCCTTCAGCCTCCATATTACAGCAGCCACAGGGTCAACCCGCATGCCTATTTCTGCGTCTTGTCAGTCGTCAATCATCCAGGCTGCTTCGAGATACATAAACACCTCTATCTGATCAAGTTGCAGCGGAATTATCCGACATACACACTCACTGAACTTCCTCGAATGTACATAAACCTCAACTTTTGTCATGTTGATTTCCATTTCGGTCTCATTGTATGCAGCAGCGAAACGAACAGGTGCAACGTCAGCATAAGCTGAAGCGAATATAAAGAGATCACTTACAAACAGAATGTTGCTCCTTCGAACAGTCCAACTGTGACTTTCTCCGCACCCAGGTAAAGTCTGTTGATCAAGTCGGTAAAGATTCTGAACAGAAGGGACAGACACTAACACGCGCCATGAAAGATATCGAACTTTTTGTTGCTAATCCGGAAACACCTTTTAGCATCTGCATAAAGATGCAAGAGCTTCAAGCAGCTGAACACTAACCCAATATTTCTGCAACACTCTCAACAGTTCTGATCGGGGTACCTTGTCGAAAGCCATTTTCACATCTATGAAAAGGCCATAAATCTTCGCATATGATTTTCTTAGAACTGGTCGATAATAAAGACCTAATGTATTTGACGATAGCCACACTGACATCCTGAACTTACTGCTCCAGCATTTGCATATTACCTTCCGGTTACCGGCAACGAAGAAGCCACTCTACCGTAAATACATGATACGTAAGAACAATCATTTTAAGAACACAAGGGATGATAAAAGTAGTTAACTGAAAAGTGCATTACTATTACCATATCATTTTTTATAATGCACCTAGGCGTCCTTGAGGCAAATAGTGGGCAACGACGAAAGTAGGAGATTGGATGACCAGCCGAAGTACAGTGAAGCGATAACTCTTGAGTCGCTGATATAGTCGTGAACGGCTCCCATGAACTCTGAACGGTCAGCTAAGGAGAAAATGATAAACAGTGATTGACAGACCTGCTACGTATGCCTAAAATCAGTTCAGACCAGAAGGAGGATACCCTGACTATATTAACTGACAGTATGATTGGAAGTCGCCGCCTGTACTTATCTCCAAGGAACATAGGACGAAATCTTTTAAGCATGTAGTGTGCACTTCAATGAGTGAATGGACAAAAGGAAAGTTAGTAACTGTTGGAATGTCGGTCTTCCTTTAACTTTCATAATGGAACCATTCATGACGCCCTTCCTTTTCCTGAAGCTAACAGCGGTGAGCTCCATCTCTGTGCCATCAACGAAGAGTGCCTTATTTTAAGGCAGATTCGACGCAGCAGTATAGTCGATATAGTGTGTCGTCGCGTGTTTCCTTCCCCACGGAGTGAAACGCATTTATCAACGTCGGAGAGAAGAAAGACCAATGAACCAGATAGTGGCTCGAACTCGGAACCTCTCGGTCCTGAGTCCGATGCTCTATTGATTAAGAAGCCCCTGTCGATGCGCGATGGAAGGTTCATGAGCTAGACGAATGGAAAAATTCAAACGATGCTTTGGGGATTATAACAGGAAAAGGAAAAATGTTACACCCCTCGAGCTACTTGAACGGTCAAGATATTGTAAATACAGTTAAACAATCCGGCTCCAATTTGTATGATATCTCGTCATCTCTCTGAGTGAAGGATAATATCTGTCAATGACTCAGTTCTTCTATCCCCAAGCTGTGGATCAGGGGACCTTAATGAGAGTTATGACAACGAACGTGCAAAGACATTTCAAGATGCCGTTTCCATCCCTCAGCAGCTAGTGATAGTCACAGACGGTAACCGACAAGTCCTTAACGCTGCTGTCGCTTGAGACTGCAAATGTTATTACACAATCCGTAATGCACTTTTATCGTTTTCATCTACGACTAGATGAACATCAGCAACAGGATGGCCGAGTGAATGACCCATGGCTTAGTGGAAACGGGACCTCAATTTACACGTGCAATATAGGCAGCCAGAGGCAGTAGCATGGTAGGCGTTAGCAAGGCGGTTATGAAGAGTCAGATGGACCGAATTCGAGACTGGGGATGGCAAAATGTAGGTGACACGCACGCAGCATAACCATCTAGCTGAAAAGTACCTGTAGAAGCATGATGGCGATGCCAGTATTCTGAATGCCGGTCTCGAGCGAAATGGCAACGATGTTCCTGTACGGCTGCTTCATGATCATAGACAACAACAGGCCGAACACGAAACCAGACAGAGGCAGTGTCAGACCGGCAATAAGCACCCGCCACGTCATTAGTTTGAACATGTACAAGTTAGCATAGATGCCGAACGACATGATGAATAAGATGATAAGCAGCAGGAACGGACGCAGAGCCTAAATTGAGCATGTATAATTGGATAGCGCTTCGCTGCAGAAGCAGCGAGCTTGCCTTCTTAGCCCGCACACCCCAAGACGGTTTGTAGCGCCATAAAAGGACACCAATGCCCAACGGGCCAATGAAGATCATCAACGAATAAGCGATGTTCTTGTACGGTATGATTATGTCGTGTGCCGCTTGATGAACCAAGAACTGCTTGCCCAACAAGTACATCCAAAACGGCATCATCGCTGGAAAGCAAAATCCATTAATCACTATGAACGCGTCATACGCACACACAAAACAACACATTTACGCACATACCCAACGATAGCAAGGTGCTGATGAACGTCATGGTAACTGACAGATCGACGTTGCCGTCGAACAGGACAACGTAGGCATTGGACGCACCTCCGCCTGGGCTGCAGCCACTAGTGAATATGCCCAAGCTAAGGCTGTACAGACCGACCGGAACGAACAGTAGCTGCGCGATACCATACGAAAGCTATCGAAACATACGCACGAATCAGCAAATCAAGTGATCCTGGCCATTTCCGGCACTGATAACAGCATAAAGAATATGCGCTACACACAAAAGTTGCACAATAATGTCAACATACTCAGACTTTTAAGTTATTATTGCCATTTCCAATAGAAATATAGAGATGATGTTAAGAAACTGTGGGTGAAAAGTGAAGATTCAAAGCTAATTCACTTCAACAACTGAACACGTATATGGACTGACTGCTCCACGAAAAATGAGTATTTCCGTATTACATGTTTATTACAACAATGTTACATCAGAAAAGCTTCAGATAGTTTCTCTATCGTTATTATTACATTAGAAAAAGCGCAAATCGAACTCCTGGAGCACAATATTATTTCAATAAATTAGCATTTGTAGTTTTGCCAGTATCTTTTAGTACATAAAGAGCAACGGATTCGAAACAGCATTTGTAATAAGTCATGACCTTTAAAAATAAAATG